CAAAATTGTTTTTCATGAAAATGTCATGTAAGACCTCTTATTAAGACGATTGAATGAAGCAATAACCCTAATTTTTAATTTTGCCACCAATAAAGCATTCTATTCTCCAACAAAAATTCTTACCTGACTCTCGTAGGATGTCATTGTGTTAAATAGGACAGAAAAATTTAGCACTTCAATATTTTTTTCGTTTGTATATGCAATCATGACTGTTGGAATATTTTTTCTATATATTTACTGAAGAATCAAGCACCCTTAAGATACGCAGTGTAGAAAAAAATCTTGGGGAAAAAATATCGTCACAAACGGCACACCAGGTTTTGGCAATCTACAAATCCAGTAATTACATTCAGAATACAGTAGACTTGATCTTGGTATGAAAAAAATTTTAGAAATCTGAAAAAGCGAATTAGAAAGCAATTGCATTTTCTTATTGAGCTTTTTTATTTTTATTCTTTCCGCTTTTTACATTTTTGAAAATTGATTCTGTTATTCAATATGAATTCGCACCAAAATTTCCAAGTTTGTAGCACGAAAATACAGTGGTAGCATTACCCACCTTTTGGGTTAAATTTCAGGGGAAAATGTGGATGTGGTATTGAAGACATTGCAGTTAACATTATTACTTTAATTTTTTATGCTCAACGATTTGAATCATTCAAGCACACAATTTTTGCATCGAATTCCAAAGTAATAATCCAGGAAAACAAAAACCGAACATAATCCTTTGTAGAGTTTGAAATTTGTTTTTTGAAATGTGTTGAAATAATCCTTTTTATTTTTTTAAATCGTGCCAATTTATTAATCCTACCGCACTTGTATGAATTCACACACAACACTAACAAATCCAGTACTTCAAAATTTTCTGAATAATATAACGGACATTTTCCACATCTGTAAATCACGTTTTGATGATATCCGTGAGTTTATAATGCTGAGTGTGGCGGTTAAAATGGACATTTTATCTTGATTTGAGGCTGCAATTGAAAAAAATCAATTTTTTTCAGAACTCGCTGTCTTTTGCTTTTAATTCTGAATCGTGCAATTTTGTTCTCACAGGCACTGGAAAAATCTATATTGCACTCACATCATTGAAGTGTTTTACTGACTCGTTGTCTTCATTATCTTGACCAAGTAAAACATATAGTTAATTCACACCTTCTTTAGATCTCTCCGGGAAGACAGACGCAGATCCATGACGTCCCACAAATGTTAAGGATAGTTTCCTGGAGTTTCTTCCTCAGTTTCCGTATTTCGACTGATTCCTACCTTTCTTTTCCCCTCCCCTGTTTTATTTCTCTCTCTCTCATCTTTCCAAAAGAAGGTGGGGTCAAAAGATGAGCAAGACATTGCTTAAGACCTCCACCTGCTCTATGACCTGCGTCGGAACCCGCGGGTAGGAAGGTTAATATGACGGGTAACTTAAGTTAAGGCGACGGGAGTAGAAATTTTCATGCCGAGCGGCCGGCGGAAATTCGACTTCGTTGCCGAAGGACGACGTGGGGGAAGATCAACGCCAGGAAGCGGAGCCCCCTGCGGCGGTATAAAAGAAGGCAAATGTAGTTTTAGGCCCCGGTACAACTACTGTTTACAAGAGGAGCCCGGCCGAGTCAAAGATCTTAAGGGAAAAAAGAGGTTATGGAATTATTATTTTTTCACATCTGATATATATGAGCGAAAGTGCCTCGGTTAGTGGACTTGGCCCATGCCAAGTGCGGGAAGCTGGTTATATTCAGAATTTTCCCCAAACTGAGGAAAAGCTTCGAGTTATGCTTGGAAATGTGTTTGAAGCAAAAAGGAATTAAAAAATTGAGTCAATGTTTTTTTCAAAAAAGTAGTACTGTATCATTATTTTTATACTGAAGATATTCGCAATTACGGCACTTTCTTCATCTTAATCAATTGCAAGACAATCTTCTACACCTTTTTCTGATTTCTTCCTTTTTGAAAGAAGTGAAATCGATGAGAAGGAAAAAAAATGTTTTTTCAAGACCGGAGTTTTGGGATCTTGTAAAAAGACAGTAATATTTAGTTTTATATACCCACATTTCTTGAATGATTCGAAAAAAATAATGTTTATAATTTTAGATCAGAATTAAAAAGCCACAACTGCTGATTCCATCTAATCAATGCGTTTATTTCAAACATGATGTCAGCAAAAGAAAAAGGAGTTTCAAGCGAGACGAATGCTATGATTTCTTTGATCAAACTTTTCGCGCATAAACTTTAAATGCGTTTGCTGGCAACGAAGAAAAAAATGGCATCGTGGTCAGCTTCCTTGTCCTTTTGCCCACATTTGCGGTCCAGCTGATTCCATAACTCCATCTTTAGGTTGCACATTTTTGCGCAGTCAGCCAAAATTTCCCGGGTCAGGGCCACTGAGGGAAATCGAGTTCCTCCGAGCATGTAAAAAGTGTTTCCCAACGCGCCCTTGAATATAACCAATGATCCAGTCATAAATACTCCAATTGGGACAATATTTAAGAAAAACCACGGGGAAATAAAATGTTAGGAAAAAATACTGCTGGAAATTTCAAGTCAAATTTTCAATCATCTGACCCCCCTTTGTCAGATGCGCGAGGAATTCAAGTTGCAAAGAGACTCACTTGCATAATGAGAAATCCTCCGGGTTTGACAAGGTTTGCAGAATTTTTGAATGCAGATTGGTAATCTGGCAAATTATCAGTCGCAAATTCCAGACATAAGCTCGTGAAAACCACATCGAATAGATTTTTGTGAGGAAAAATTGGATTTTCCTTGGATACATCGCAGGATATTATTTTCTGAACTCGTCTCCTCAGTCGCAATTCCACTTGCTTAGCTCTAAAAAATATAGACAAAATGGCACATTATTCTCATGTTGAATTTTTTTCTGAGAGACAACAATGTTTTCAGAACACCGTATTGGATGATTTACTGACCAATCCTCCGAATTCTGCTCACCAGGATTTAAATTAAGATTGAAAAACAAAAGAGAATGCGGGAATACAATTCATATTTCCCACAATCATTTTGTATGAATTTCAGGCCAAATCGAAGTCCTATGATTTATATTTTTAAAATCTTGAGCGATTTATAAAAAGGTTTTTGGAATCCTTATTTTTGATTTGAGATGATTTTTTTTTATTTGAATAAACTTGCCTAATCAGTATGCAGTACTTGATTCGTAGTTTAAGAAAATACTTAAATCATTTTCCTATATAATATTGGACAGAATTATCAAAGAAAACTCACGAAACGTCTTCTAGTTTCAAAGTCTGCTGTTTCAAAGTCTGCTTCATAAACTTGCCTAATCAGTATGCAGTACTTGATTCGTAGTTTAAGAAAATACTTAAATCATTTTCCTATATAATATTGGACAGAATTATCAAAGAAAACTCACGAAACGTCTTCTAGTTTGGCGACGGTGTTGAAATGATGAAACCAATCCAGTTTTCCGCAGGAATTCGTTTTCCATTTGAAGATTTCAAAAAGGTTTTGTGGCAAGAAGTCAGCCATTGTCAGGGAATTGGCCCATGAAGAAATTGAGGCCGAAAACGATGGGACTGGACCGCAACCCAGGTCCAGTGCAGAACCCGATTCCCGAGATCCCACGATTCCATCTGCAGAAAAAAGTTTTTCAAATTAAAATTCATCTTCTTTCCGAAGTTCCTATATTTAAAAGTGGTTCTGAGCACGGAAAGTTTAATTTTTTCAGAATTTAAGGCCTTTTTTTGCTCGCCAGACCTTTGTGATGGTGATTTGGTTTTCACTGTGCCATAATTTATTTTTACCAAGTCAAAAGCAACCGATTTTTCTTCCAAAATATGAATTCTGAGTTATATTGCTTATTCAAAGGGGTTGGATGACTCATGCTCACCGCGAGCAAAAACTTTGCGCAAATTTTCGAACCAAAACAGCAGTTCTGGGTCGTCGTCATTGGAGCAAAATTCCAGCGAATAAATCTTCGGATCGAACCGAGTTTCGTACAATACACCGACGTGAGTTGACACGCTTTGACAAATTTTCCTCTCCTCATCTTGATCATCTTTAGAATCGCAAATCGACCGGGAACGAATCGCTGCGACACGTCTGAGAAGTTTCTGCCCGGTCGGCATTTTCGCAGGGAATTTTGCTGAGGCTGTGACGTGGGTTCTGGGCTGGAACCCTGGGTTTTATACGAATGCAGAATCACGGCAATCTGACCCAAATGACTCGAATTTCATCAACCCGGATTGCCAGTGAGGGTTTTTCGGGTTAATTGTGCCTCAGGGACCTGACATTTTAGGTGCATCCCTGAGCATTGCATTATTTGCACTGCATTCAGGTCAAACATCTTTTGCAGTCGATGGAAAACTGCAGGGTCATTCACAAACTAGTGTTCTCGAAAAGTCTGAGAATATTTTGGTGCGCATATTCCAGAAGTAATGGCAAGAACCATAAGTTTTTAGTGCGGATTTGGGCTCATGGCTGACAATTGGGAAATACATTCGTGGTACAGTATTCTTAGATTCATTGTCATCGAAATTATTTATTATTTGTAGCATAAAAGAAGCGATGAAGAAAAGATATTGTACTATTTTTTATTGAATATAGGTTGACCAATTTTTCTATTCTTTCCGAAGCCTACAATTCAGAGGAAGGCAAGAATTTAATGAACAGGCATAAATCACAAGAAACCAGTGGGAATATTATAAATTTGAATCAACGAAATGTACTGAACGGTCAACATATAATTTTTCATTTTTGAATATTAAAAAACACTTTACATCCCATGGAGGTGTACCAGGTTAGATTCGATTCGAGAAATATCGAGTATTTGGGTCTAAAATTAGTGAAAATTATCAATAAATTCGAGGCCAGGAAAAAGGCGAAAACCTGCCAAAACTCGGGGTGTTGAAAAATTGCTCCCTCTTCGTGTCAACGACGAGAATTATTGTTCTGTCACGTCGCGACACCGACAGCATAAATCGTCATAAGCGGATATGCGTTTGTCGAAGCCGACAGAAAACACGCCAATCGAAGGCCGAGACACACGTTTCCTCACATTATATTCCTTTTTATTTCCCCCAAAAAAATATTTTTAAAATACAAACATTTTGTTACTGGAACAACAGTTAACGGGATAAAAGATATGAACCCAGGGAAAAATAACAAGAGACATGGNCCCAGAATGTGAGTATTCACCAAGTTATGCGAAGAAAATTAAAAAATTTCAAGCAAGTCTAGGGAAAACACGTCAAAAGCCGTAAACAGTCATGTATTAAGAGAGGCGCTTGAAAAAGTAAAAAAAATGTTAATATGATTCCAGGTGGTTCTTATACAAAAGATGTTCACTGTCCTAAATCCTGTGGTTTCCTCTTTCAGCATATAGGTGTCACTCCAACTTTTCCGCACATGAGGTGTCTAAAATTCGCAAAAAAATAATCTTCAAGGACTTTTTTTGTGTGGAAATCACGTCACTTAGAACCTTCAGGATTTTAAAAACCGTAATACTGTAACAGAGACTTCAAGCAAGCTTCATTCTAGGAAAAAAGTCTCTAGCAGGCCTACAATGGAAATTTCCAGAAAAAACAGAGATTATTTCCAAATTACTCTCCATTCAGGAAACCGTGAACGCACTTGAACCAGCAACAAAACAAATAGGTTGGCTGGAACTTGGTATTCATAGCAAACCTGTGCTTTGTGCTTCTTCAATTTTTTCTCCCTTCTGGTTGTCCCGAGGCAGCAACGACAAGATGTCGGACACAAAAGCGTGTTCAAATTATGCGCCGCACGACAGCGTTTTGACTCCCCCAACAAAAGCTGTTGAAATAAGGCTGGTGGATATATTTTTACATTTTTGGGACGCAAAAAATCATTCTCGAATTCACCTGAGTGACAAATAAAGTGTATACATGGAGGTCACTTCATCAGGCAACACATTGAATAAAAGATGTTGCAATTCTGCCATAAAGAACGCGTGATATTAGCGAGGATATTAATCTCTTTTACGCGGATACCTGTTGGGAGGGTGAGTTTGTGCATGATGAAAAGCAGCAAAAATAATTTGCGAACCGTTATTTGGGGTGATTAAACAGAACAGAAATGCCAAGCATATAGAGTCATTTCAGCATTACAGTATTATAATCCAAGATCTGTACCATCCAAAACTTCAGTTTCTGCGCTCACATTAAAAGCACGCGTTAATCAAAACAGGATGAAAGATGACAATGAGATGAAAATTTGGAATTTGAACAAAGCGTTATCAAACCCAGCGAATCAATGGAAGAAATTCATTAGCGTTGCTTTTGATAAAAATTTTTGATTGAGAAAATGCCGGGATTCTTACATTTTGGACGAGGAAAGAAAACGTCATCGATAAGTAATGAAATTGCTTGTGAGAAGACGTTGCAGAATTCTACAGTACAAATAATTCGGACTGCAAAAAGACACGTCAGCAATCATAAAAGTAGACTTCGATTTCAAGGGCAAAAAGGAAATTGCGGGAAAAAATTGACTTTGACTGAAATGATGCAGATTACTTTGATGAATTGAAAATCATTTTTTGTCGTGTCTTATTCCAATTCCGATGTGCTTTCTTCTGCGTCAATTTTTCTCGAACTCCTCTTCCGCACGCAGATACTCACTACTTTTTTCAAGCTGAAAAGCCCCGAACTTTTTATAAAAGGCATTGCAGTTCATAAAGTCTTTTTTCTTTTTTTAAACCTTGTTCCACAGAGTTTAGTATACCTCTGAACCTGCGCGTGGGCTTGTAATTTGGACAAGCATTGTCCACGCAGTCGGAAATAAACTCGCATCCGCGGGCGCGTGACAATGGTTCCCAGATGCTGTCGACGATTTCAAGTAAGGGAGGGTCTGTGACGACAAACCATCCCGACTGATGATAAATACACTCCTCTTCTGTGAATCATCTTTTATCTTTTTTTTTTCTCAACTATTTATTTTTTCTATAGTTTTCATTCTCTCTGTTTCTCCAGGCCCACGCCATTGTCTAGCATTTCGATTCACACACGACTTGACGTGCGACGGAGAAAGAAAATAAAATGAGCTGACAAAGGAAAAAGACATCCGGATATTGTTCCGGGGGATTTTTCCGGTCGGGTTGCTTGTCGCCGCCGCCGCGGCTTGTTCTTCCCAACGCGGCTCGCCAAGCTGGAAGAAAATCCCCAGTTCTTTGCTGACATAGGGAAAAATAACAAGCAAAATGTAAAAAAAAAGGTATTTGCAAAGCAGAAGAGAGACTCAGAGAGCAAACTCGTGATAGCAATAAGTAACAAAACAGGCTAAGAATTTGAAATTCGTCCCCAAAACCAGGATTTTATTTTATTTCGAAAATATATTATTTATTTATTTTATTTTATTTCAGGTTGATCATTCACGCAGTAAAGTCTCGAACTACACATTTCATGCATTCCATTAAGTACATCATAGTCAAATTCATTAATTATTCTCGCAAGTAGGTGGGTAAAAATTTCAAACACGCCTAAACTGCAAATAAATGACAGTGTAGTTGATGACAGTTGAAGGGATTGATTTTCTTTTTGCGACACTTCTCTAAATCAATAGTTTAAACTAAACTGAAAAAAGGCTAAATCCTTCATCATACAAACACAAAGCTGATGAGATGTTACGCAAAAATTAATCCTGATTAATAAATCTCACAAAAATAATCCGAAAATAACTGCGAAATGAAAAGATACTTTAATATTTTCTGCACAAAAAATCTTGGAAGTAGGTCTTCGTCAAGAAAGCAAAGATTTATCCCAAAATCATCCAAAATAGGCTTATTCTTCTTATTTCAAGCAGCTGAATTCTGATTTTGGAATCATGGTTCTGATGATTCCCACGCAGATCCTGATTCAGCTGTTCTTCATTATAATGCTCAGTTTGAAAACTACGCGACTGAATAATGAGCATTAAATTTTAAGATTCAAAAACGGAATGGTTAATTTTGAAAATCAGCGACGGATACAGAAATATGTAACATTCATAGCAGCAATTTTATTTAATTATAAAGCCATTTCACTGTTTATTGTTGTTGCGAAAATGTCGAAATCGTTCAGTTTTACCACACTGTCACTTACTTTCATTCTTCACTTGGGGCATTTCCTCCAGCGTCATTTTTTTCTCACACTTTCTCCCAAAACTATACAAAAAAATTCGATCCCGGAATTTCTGAAAGGTTTTTCTGGTCAAAGCCACTTCAGTATATTTTCCACTGAATTCCTCGGGATTCTTTCGAAAGCAACGAGACCCGCCACTAGGGTTCTTTATTTTCCTCTCTATTCTGAATGAAGTATCTGATGCTGTCGGGATCTCAAGGGGATCAACTAAGAACCGGATTCCTTCCCCCATCAAAAAATCACAGAAGTACGTTGGCCAGATAATCGTTGATGGATGAGTGAAATGAAACAGGAACCCCGCCTCGTCACGGAATATCAAGTTGCCTCGGCCCTTGATAAATCCCAGGGGCCACAAAAAATAAATAATATATACATAGATATACTCGTGCCCAAGAAAACCCCTCGACACCCAAAAAACCGCAGTAATCCCCATCAGAACACCATCTCTACGCCTTGGCCACGTGCTGCCAGCAAAAAGCTTGACACCTCGGGCTCCACACAAAGTTCCATCAGACCATCAGGAAAGCGATAGACATATTCCTATAAAATCAAGATGATTCAAATGCTCTGAAAAGAATGG